GGAAAGGAAAGGAAGAATAATAGTTTTTAGCAGTGGATCTTAGAGCAGAGCTCCAGTCTGGTGGAATTAAGGGTCTGCTTGGAAACGGGTTTGTTATCCTTTCCATTTTTAACAGCTTAAAAATGATTATTTTTTGTCCTTTTTTTTTCACCCCTACTTTACTGCTGACAGAAGCTGACACATCCTTACTTCTGGCCAGCAAAACAGCCAGCCATTGTTTTCGTGGTGGGGGGCAGTTCTGCCAGGATGGCTCTGGATTGACTGGCAGGGGTTTTTGAGAGCACTTTGTTTTGGGGGCACCCGTTACGCTCCAGATCTGGGGTTTTGTTTTGTTTTGCTTTTTTGAGGGGAGGGGGAAAGGTTTCTTGCTATTGAATCGGGATGGCTCAGAGCCTAGATGTTTACAAAGCTTTTGAAAACAAAACGGGCGGGGTGGGGGGGGAGAGAGGGGGCTATCCAAATGCATAATTAATTTTCTCCTTTCCCAATAAACTTTAATTTTCCAAACCTCCCTTTGTTGGTGCAGAATTAAAAGATTTATGCAGTTAAGTAATGCAAAATGAAAAGTGGCCAGGCCCAAGCAAAGGCTTAGAATTAGTCAAACCCATAAATAACAGGAATGAAAGCCACCGGGGAGAGGAGAGGGCACGGAGTTGGCACCTTTCCTCTCGCTCGTTTTCTGAGTAGCTCTTTTTAAGCATCAACATCAGGAAAATCGAGGGCTACAGCAAAACCAGATGGCAACTGAAGTCAGTTCAAGGTGAAGGCCTGGCTACAGGTGATTCCCACGAAGGAAAAGCCCTATCTGGGATTTGAAAAATAGGGAGGACTCAGTCACTATCGGCTTACTTTGGCAGAGAGATCACAATATGTATTTTTGTGGTATTTTGGAACAAGTAAACAATCCCTCTCTCTCTCTCTTCTTTTCTTCCTTCCTCTTCCCTCATTCCTTTCTTCCCTTTTTCTACCTCCCTCCCTCCCTCTCTCCCTTCCCGCACCTCAATCCTTCCTTCCCTTCCCCTCCCTGCCTCCTTTCCTTCCTTCCTTCCCTTCTCCTTCCTCTCTCCTTCCTCATTCCTTTCTTCCCTTCCTTCCATCTTTCCTCCCTCCAGTGGTGGGATTCAACATTTTTTACTACTGGTTCTGTGGGCGTGGCTTGGTGGGTGTGGCAGGGGAAGGACACTGTAAAATCTCCAGTCAGAGGTGGGGTTTGCCGGTTCTCCAAACTGCTCAAAATTTCCACTACTGGTTCTCCAGAACTAGAAAGAACCTGCTGAATTCCACCTCTGCCTCCCTCCTTCCCTCCTCCTTCCTTCTTTCTCTTCTCCTCCCCCCCTTCTTTCCTTCCTTTCCCTTCTCATTCCTTCCTTCCTTCCCTTCTCCTCCCTCCCTCCTCATTCCTTCCTTCCTTTCTCCTCCCTCCCTTCTTTCCTCCCTCCCTCCCTCCTCATTTCTTCCCTTCCCTTCTCCTCCCTCCTTCCCTCCCCCTTCCTTCCTTCCTTCCTTCCTTCCTTCCTTCCTTCCTCTAAGTCAATAATCTGGCAAGATAAAGTAAAGAACAAGGCAGATTTTTGCTTAAAAAAAGCCAAAATATCACCTAAGATTCCAAGGAGAAGAACCAGAGGAAAAATGGCAAGAAATCACTTAAGGTATGTCTGTTAATCTTAGTGTGACTTTATTTCAGGCTCAAAGAGTCTAAATGGGTACAAGTTTAAAAAAAAAGACTGAATGTGACATAATTGTCCCATGGAATAAAACTATATTGGTAGTTCTACTTGGTATCTATTTCTCTGATGCCTTTATGTAATGCATCTCCTTCTCAACCCAAAGTGAGGCTCTTTCATTCCCTCCTGGTGGAACATTTACTCTTCTCATTTTTTTTTAAAAGCTAATGGTAGGAAAAGTGGCTCAGTGGCTAAGATGGCGAGCTTGTCAATCAGAAAGGTCAGCAGCTCGGAGGTTCAAATCCCTAGCGCCCTGTAATGGAGTGAGCTCCCATTACTTGTCCCAGCTTCTGCCAACCTAGCAGTTCGAAAGCAGGTAAAAATGCAAGTAGAAAAATAGGGACCACTTTGCTGGAAAAGTAACGGCATTCTGTGTGCCTTCGAAGGCATTTAGTCATGGCAGGCACATGACCACGGAGACGTCTTCGGACAGCGCTGGCTCTTCAGCTTTGTACCAGAGATAAGCACCGCCCCCTAGAGCCAGAAACAACTAGCACGTATGTGCGAGGGGAACCATGACCTTTAATGGTAGGAAAGACACAGTCACAATAGAAAGTGGTTCAAGAAAGTTAATCCAAAATTTTAGACCCAGCAACTCATAGCGGTTAGCCTAAAAGAGAAACGGTGCAGAAAACAATGTTAAAGAAGGGAGAGTGGAAGAGGCCAGGAGAGCAAAAGTCTCACCCTCTGGATTATTTGGAGCCAAGAGTGTTGCGCAGGTGTGAGGTGTCAAAAGAGTTAAGTTGGTGGCTACAACTACATAACCCACAACTCTTATTTCATAACGTCTTCCATAACTCTACAGTTTTTATCTTGGAGATCTCTGTCCCTGTTCATCAGGCTCCTCCCTCAACATCAGGAAGAACATCAAACTGCGAACATGCCTACTTTCTTAGTGGGAAGGCTTCTGAAAAAAATTGGACGTGGAAAGGGATCTGGGAGGTGATCTGGTAGAGAAAGCTGCCAGGGCTTTTCTCAGTGGGAACTTTCGCACCCTTGAAACTATTCAGTCTAGATTTGTTTGCGCCGACTTAGCACTTGTCCAAGATAGTACCAGGACTCCTGCTGTGATGACCCAGAGTGTAACACAAGCGTAACAAAATCCAAAACGTAAATAAATGTCCTTTAATGCCTCCAGCGTGGCCCCACTGTTCAATAATTCTCAGTTGGAGATAAAACTTATTCAAAAATTGTCTTCAAAAGAAAGCAACACAGTCCGAACTTAATGAGCAGATAGGGGTGAAATAAAAAATTAAAACAAACTACAATGAAGGAAATTCCACAACGGACCAGGATAAGTAATTACCAACTTCAAGGAGATAACAAGGCACAGTCTGTTGGAGGGATGCCAACCAAGGTAACTTCAGCCCAAAATAACACATGCTTTGCTTCTGGCAACGCTGTGTTTTAACCGTCTCTCTTATATACTATTCTCCCCAGCTGCAACCAATGAGGGGGATCATGGCCGCTTCCTCTCTCGTGTAAGCCAAGTTGTTGCCTTTTCCATTCCTCCCTGTGTGTCCTAGGATGAAGAGGGGATGGGCCTGGTTCTTCCTCTGACTGCCCAGCCGGCCTCTGCCCTTCCCCAGCCTCCTCCACAACCTCCGGAAACACACCTCCACTTCCTTTCGACTGTTCTTCCTCTCCCTCAGTCTGACTCAAACAAGGGCATGACACCTGCCTTGAAGGCCTCCAAGCTTCCTTCCAACCTTATGACTCTATGATTCTGACTCATTCTGCTAATTCTGGCCTATATTACCTGAAATTTCCTTCGAGCTACAAAATACTGCATCCTCCTTATGACCTTGACAGCCGCACGATGGGTTTCTGTTAACCTGGGGAAAAAAATAAAGAATGCACACACTTTAAAATGTTTTTAAATTAAAAAAAAAATCCCTCCTAGCTTCTCCAACAAGTGGTATGGATGTGTGTGAATGTATGTGTCCGTGTATTTTTTATTTTATTTATTTATTTGTCAATAGCTTACAAGATAATAAACATAAGTATCAATACAGGAAATGGGTATGAATAATTGGGGACAATAGGACAGGGACGGCAGGCACGGTTGTTCACTTATGCACGCCCCCTTGCAGACCTCTTAGGAAGGGGGTGAGGTCAATAGGGAAAAGGATTGTGGGTTTGGGGATGTGACAACAGAGTCAGGTAGTGTGTTCCAGACATTGACCACTCTGTTGCTGAAGTCATACTTTCTGTAATCAAGTTTGGAGTGGTGTACATTAAATTTATATCTATCGTGCGCTCTTGTACTGTTGCAGTTGAAGGTGGAAAAAGTCATTGGCTGGTAGTACATTAAAGCAGATTATTTTATAAACTATGCTTAAGTCAAACCATAAGCGGTGTAGTTCTAGGTTGTCCAAATTCAAAATCTCAAGCCTGGTGGTGTAGGGTATTCTGTTGTAAACTGAGGAGTGTAGTACTCTTCTTGTGAAATACTTCTGGACACGCGTCCGATATACAGTGTGGATTCCAAACAGCCGAGCTGTATACAAGTATTGGTCTAGCAAAGGTTTTGTATGCCCTAGTTAGTAATGCAGTATTACCAGAGGAGAAACTTCTTAAGATTAGATTTACAATTTTGATGACTGAAGTTGGGTTTGTCTGGTTACAATTTAATACCCTGTGTGAATCCCAACACTTGTGTTGTGCAAACCATGATTTTTGGCAGTAGTTGGCAATCATTTCATGCCATAAAAGCAAAGTCACTCTTGAATCACCCTCAACTCTCAAATTTGCAGACATCACCAAGCTGAAGAGAGCATCCAACACTTTAGAAGATAGACTCAAGATGCAGAAGGATCTTGACAGACTTGAACACTGGGCCCTATCCAATAAAATGCAATTCAGTGACAAGAAAAATAAGGTTTTACACTTAGGCAAGACAAACCAAACACACATATATAGAATGGGTGACACCTGGCTATACAATAGCAACTATTAGAGCAAGGGTCTTCAAACTTGGCAAGTTGACAGCTTTAAGACTTGTGAACTTCAACTCCCAGGATTCTTGAGCTGACATGACTGGAGGAGGAATTCTGGGAGTTGAATTCCACAAGTCTTAAAGCTGTCAAGTTTGAAGACCCTGTCAAGCTTAAAGACTCTGTCAAGCTTGAAGACCCTTGTATTAGAGGGATCTAGGACTCCTAGTGGTCAACCACTTAAATATGAGCCAGCAGTGTGATGCAGCCAATGTAGTTCTAGGTTGCATCAACAGAGGGACAGTTGTGGTCATCACCATGATACAAAAAAGATGTCAAGACTCTAGAACAGGGGTCTTCAAACTTGACAGCTTTAAGACTTGTGGACTTCAACTCCCAGAATTCCTCCTCCAGTCATGTTAGCTCAGGAATTTTGGGAGTTGAAGTTCACAAGCTTTAAACTTGCCAAGTTTGAAGACCCTTGGTCTAGAAAGAGTGCAGAAAGAGCAACAAAGATGATTCAGAGACTGGAGGCTAACTATGAACAGGTGCAGAAATTATTGTGGGTATGTCTAGTTGAATGAAGAGAAGGATTAGAGATGACATGATAGCAAACCCTCAATATTTACCCTGCCTTGATTCTCTTTAGTGTAAGAATAAAAGAATCAGTCAGACTTTCAAGATTCTGTTATACCCTTGAACAATCCAGCCATTCATGTAATTCCTCATCTGGTCCACCTCATGTGATGACCCAAGGTGGGATACAAAAGCAACAAAGTCACAAAAACAGGTGAAGTCCCTTTAATTCCTTCAACTTGGCTTCAAAGCTCCAATTATCATTGACTGGAGAAAAAACTCCCCCACAAACAGTTGCGAAAAGGAAGAAATTCCGTTCAAACTCAAAATACATATAAATTATAAATAGAAAAAACAACACAAACCATACTGAAGCAATTAATCAGGCAAGCCAGGATAAGGGCTTGAAGACGTCCACGGATATCAAAATACACACACTGGGAAGGATGCCAGAACTCAGATAAGAACTTTAATTATTTCATGCTTTGCTTCCAGCACTGGGCCATGCGCAGTTTGTCCTTTCAAACAGTCCTCACAGCTGCAGCCCATGAAGGGGATCAGGGCCCCTTCCTCCCCGGTAGACCACGCCACTCATGTTTCTCTCTTATCCTCTCCTCCCTGTGTGCCCCAGGATGAAGAGGGAATGGGCCTGGGTCTTCCTCTGAATGCCCAGCCAGCCTCTATCCTTCTCCAGTTTCCTCCACAACCACTGGAGCTACACTCCTACTCCCTGTCGGCTGTTCCTCCTCTTCCTTGGAGTCAGACTCCAACAGGGGCATGGCACCTCAAAGGATGATGGTTCCCAATTCTTCATGATCACCCAGGCCCCATTTCACCAGTTTTAAATTGGTTTAGCACAGATTAAAAACAAGGAAAACCCTGAAGTTAAATTAAATTAAATTAAAGCAGAGAGCAATTCTCAGGCTGCTTCCATGATATGATTTATCTCCTCTGCCTAATCACCATAGTTATTGTACCCCAGAAAATGTTAAGTATATTTTCTGCCAGCTCCCACAAGGATTCCTCCTTGCTCGAGAGTAAAGGAACACTGTCCTACGGATTCACCCTAGAAGTATTTTCAACTAACTACCTGGGACCATATCTATAAATATTAGCCCGTGTAATTAAAGGGTCAGTTTTACTTCTTTACAGAAGGCTCTGTGTGGACCTACCCAAAAGACTTGTTCAAACAAATACATTTAGAGCAAAATATCTTCCCATACAGGGCGGAGGACAAGGTTCTCATTGATGTCTTCCCAAAATATGCAGCAGGGAAGTGAATTTTAAGACTGATTTAAAAAGAGATAAAAAGTTCACCTTGAGCTGATGAATCTCAAATTAGCAAAGCCCTCTCCGCTTACATAAATGTTGCGTCTGAACCCTACAGTGCAGACAAGTCAAAGACAATTTCGATCTCCATAGGAGTAAATGTTTGAAATAGGCAGGGGTAAGCTTCCAAAAATTTAGCAATGGGTTCTCTGCCTGGTTGATGGATGGGCGTGGCCATGGTGGGTGTGGCTTAGTCAGCCTCCTGTGGGGAGGGGGCATTTTTGTCCTCCCCAGGCTCCGGAGGCTTTCCTGGAGCCTCCAAGACAGGGGTGGTATTCTACCGGTTTGGCCCGGTTCTGCCAAGCCGGTAGCGCCAATGAGCAGCAGAGATTGAACTGGTTCTCTCCACCAGTCTGCTGTTGGGCCTACCCGCCTGCCCAGGCTCCCATACTCACCTTTATTACCTGCTTTTGGAGTGCAGCTGCTTTGCCCGACACATCAGATTGGCACGCGGCAGCTGCTGAGGCGACGGGGAGAGTGCAGGATTGCAGGAGGGGAGTTGGAGAGCCTCTGCGCCTGTGCAAAGTGCGTGCTTGGCGCACGCGCAAAGTGTGTGCATGCACGCAAAGCGCGCCCACCAACCCATGCCCACCGAACCGGTGGTAAATATGTTTGAAACGCACCACTGCTCCAGGAGGGCGAAAACAGCCTCCCTGGGCTCCGAAGACTCTCTGGAAGCTGGAAACAGGCCCATTTCTGGCATTCCTGAACTTGAGGGGGGGTGTTTTCACCCTCCCTGAGCCTCCGCATGCACCTTGCACTTACCTGCATCCAAAATGGGCTGTGTGGGGACTCTTGGGAAAGGTAGGGTGGACTGGGTGGGGCCAGCCAGGAGTGGGATTTATGGGTTCTCCAAACTGCACAGAATCTTAGCCGGCGGCTCTCTCAAATCCCCACAAGGTGTGAAATGCTCTTGGCTGAATGCCCAGAAGTTCAATTAAGCCTATTAAGAGCTCCCCCTTGCTCCTTGTCTTTCTGAGGTTATTGGGGGCTCTCCGAACCCCGCAGAGTCTTAGCTAGGGGCTCTCTCAGCCCAACCCTGCTTAGCACTGAAATTGCAAACCAACAAATATTACTCATTTCTAAAGCAATACATCCTGAAAGACAAAACCACAAGCTTTATAGAGGATGTTTAAAATTGCTTTCTTTAGCCATTCTTTCTACTTAATCAGGATAATAATTTTTCATCCACTCTGCTTATCTAGAATATACATAAAAGAGGCCAGGGCTTTCGTTATGCAGTCAGAAGCACTATTTCATTTATTTGTTTGAATTTATTAGCTGCCCAATTTTTGACTTTTTTTCCCCGCCAATAGTCACTGTTGCCCAGAACTATGATCCAATGTGCCTTTACATTACCATTTTATGTTCGACTTGGTGTTCACTCACCCTAATGCAGCTAAACTGCAGAGTAAAGATTTCCCACTTCAGTAGCGTTCGACTCTATTGCTCAGTGTTCATCTCCGTGAATTGGCCGAGGGAACCCTTGTTGTCTGAAGACATTTTTGTTAGAGTTTGTTGCAGAGATTCAAATCCAGAAAGCACACACAGATAACTGATCCAGCAGGATTCATTAAGCTTCTTTATATACATAATAATACGTAAGTAAATATACAATACCAATGATAGATTCTTCCAATGTGGTAGTAGTTACAAGCAAAACCACAAGCAGAGGAGTTTCAATAAACAAGCAAATCCAGACTAGTTTTGTTTCTCAGCTGAGCACAGAACTCTGATAAGCCACGCCCAGACTCCCTCCTTAAGTTTCAGTTTCTAATTCAGCTCCCATTGGCTGATCTGTTGCCATGCTATTAGTTGGCTGACCTTGTTTTCCATGTCTCTGCCATTTCATGAATGTTCTGACAATTTTCCATGGTCATGTGGGCAGCATGGCTCTATGTCAAAGGCATGGAACATGGAACATGGAACACTGTTACCTTCTCACCGAAGTGGTACCTATTAATCTAACGGTGTAGGGTCTCCCGCTTGGGCAG